AGTACGACGCTCTTCCGATCTCTAATAATAATATTATAATATTATAATATAATAATATAATATAATAGATATCTATAGCGCTATCACCTGTAGCTCATGCAATTGCGCTGTACATTCATGTTACAATAAAACTACTAATTAGGAAATTGTTAGGCCTACAACGAATGGGAAAAAATTGAAACTCAGTATGTTACAGAAGCCTTAGTACTATTTACAATAAAATCATTACCATTTTACAAGGTTATATAATTAATTAATAAAAACGGTTACACAATGCCTTAGGTAAGGTTTGCTAATAGTAAATTTGCTTAAAAAGATAAGTTTTAATGTTAGATTTAAAACTAATCAGCGAATCGCTGTGGAGAATATAATCAGGAAAAATAATCCATAATTTCAATACTGGGAGAGAAAGACCTATGACCATAGTTTACCATTCTAACTAATGGTATTTCCAATAGGTTCTTTGAGCTGGATCTTAGAGTACTGCTCTGAGTATATGGTTGTAGCAACGCTTTGCAATGTAGCCAGGTGCTGGTCCATTTAATGCCTTATTAGTTATTAACAATAGCTTATATATATTACAATGGCTCACAGGAAGCTAATTCAGTTTCTTCAAGACTGGCGTAATGTGGTAGTACTTCCTATACTAACTGTAATACGAACTGCAGAGTTCTGTACGTTCTGCAAACCGTTAATTAGGAATTCGGGTAATCCATGAAGTAATGAGTTGAAGTGAAGTCTCAGAAGTGATGAACGCATGGACTAAAGACAAGTTTCAGTGTCTGCTTGAGATAGACAGTGCCTTATTTTTGCTATATTGCGAAGGTGGAAGAAACATGCCTTACAGGTAGAAGTTACATGTTCGTCGAAAATTACCCAATATTCCTTGCTAAGCAGTCGGCTGAATCAGTTCGCTGGGAGTGTCCATATGCTCTATCACAGGGCTCAGACGATAGTGAATACTCAATTTCAACTATTTCTGCCATCCAATTCTCCCTCTTACAGTAGTGAGTGGTTGTGGAACGTCATTACTTGGTCATGACTGGCTTCACAAAATTAAGTTAAACTGGCATGAGATCCCAAGGGTTGAAATATCCTGCCCAAGTATACCCACTTCTATCAACTAGCCTCTACCAGCTGCCATTCAGTGATACCCTGCTACTTTTCAACATGGACTATGCATGCTAAAGGGAATGACAGCCAAGCTTGAGGCAAAAGATGGTGCCAAACCCAAGTTCGGCAAGTCTCGCCTCGTCTCATATGCAATCAGGGACATAGCGAACCATCTGAAGTTGGGGGGGGGGGGGGGGGGGGGGGGGGTGTTGGAGGATTTTACCTGAACTTTGAATTTCGTTTACGTTTGTCTCAATACTAAGTTAAGGTTTTCCTTTTGTTTGAGTCTTTTATTATAGATAAGTACTTTTCTAGTTTGTAATCTATCTTGATGATTGAATAAAAGGTTAGTTTCGAGGAATGTTCAAGTTTGTGTTTCCAAAATGTAAGCTAATTTTCTTTAAGACGTTTGGTAATAGGTTGAATAAGTTCAGTTGTGATTGATTCCAAGTCAATGTTTTCTGTGTTGAGGTTAAATGCTTTCAAATTAAAATATCCATTGCTTTTCCATAAAAGAAGTGTTTTTTTGTTTAGTAAACAAATCCTTTGAGATTAGGAAAGCTTGTTTGGCAATGGCTGTTTCCGATAAAGAGTTCAAATGAGTGATGTACTTGAAAAGTCTTTTGAAGATATTAATAAGGTGGACTTTTTCAATACGTAATAGTTTCAAAGTTGGGAGAGAGTGTTTACCCCCCCCCCCCTCCCCTGGTCGCTACGTTCCTGTACGCAATGCAGAGTGCAATACAAGATGAATATGATCGCCTCGAATAGCAAGGATTCATTTAGAAGATTGAATACAGTGAGTGGGTCGCTCCTATGGTCCACATTCGAAAAAGAGATGGTCAAACCGGCTTGTTTGGTGATTATTCTGTCACTCTCAATCCTTCCCTGAAGGTACAGAGCAAAAAATCATTTTCTTATTAAGAAAAAAAATTCTTAATTTAAAGTGCCCCTGACACAAAAATTTTTTTTCAGTCTGTTGAAAGTACTCATTTAGTATAGTGTTCTAGCGAAAGAATTTTCTGATTTCATCAAAACGAAAAAAATTTAGAGCCGTTTGAACACGCAAAATTTGGGCTTTTGGTTGGCAGGCGTCCGTGTTCGAAGGAAACTGGAACGAGCGATTTTTGTTACGTCACGCAAGTGAGTCGGCGTATATTCTATTATTCGACTATACTAGCACTATCAACTCTCGGCGGATATATAGGTAGATTTGTGATCGAAAAAGATATGCCTTTTTATTGTGTTGCAGCTAACTGTACCAATAAAGCATGTTTAAAAGATGGAATAAGTCTACACAATATTCCATACTTCAATGACGAACACGCGGAAGCTAAAAGACGAAGAAAAGTATGGGTTGATTTTGTACGCGCAAAGCGTTTGTTTGTGCCGTCAAAGACTTCGACTATATGCTCGGATCATTGTGGAACAGAGGATTACGAGAGGCAATTTTTTTCGTTGCCGGGGCTCGGCAAGCCTAACTATCTGAAGCTAATAAAGACTGACGATGATTTGCTTTGTTTTGATGATTCAATTTGCAATTGTATTTCGGTTTTGCGGCCAGCTAAAAATATAAATATTTTGTAATACCGAAATAAAAGATGCAAATCTGAAGACACAAGCTTGAAAATAACACTTTAAATAGTGTTTTGGATTCCGGTTCGAATAAGACTATTACGAAAAAGATATGTCCAAAGGGGCCGAAGTTATGGTCGGCTAAATGTATGGCTACTTTACATTGTTCGAGACTAATTGAGTAATATAATGAATTATGACACCGCTTGACCTCTCAAAGGTGACCAAAGGTCATAAATAGCTATTTGACTACAATTTGACTAAAACTATATTTATTTTATTTTTACAATCTTTGTCACATGACCGGTTTAACCCACAGAGCTAGTTGCTTCTTTACGGGTAACCTGCTAATGCAATACTGAAATATAGGTTAATTAACACAGTGGATATATCGCTTCAAAATCGCTAATCACTGAGACGTTAGATTTAATGTGGTCCTCAGCAATTCTAATCATGTGGATCGAAAAAGAAAAGGAATTTAATTTAAATTTCACATGCTCACTAAAAAGTGATATTTCCACTGGGTTAACAGCAACTAATGACAACACAGTTTGACAGAAAGACTGGACAAGGGACGACACAAATGACACTTTACACACACTGTTTTAAACGTTTGTGGAACATCAATGTCGTAGACCTCTTCAACAAGCTTTTGGTAATATTTAAATAGGCCGCATTTAAATTGACTGACTGAGAGATTTGACTGCCGTAAGTGTGATGGTAAACAGTTAAAAGTCCTGGGTGATCTGCAGTAATAACTGTTCTGAAATGTTAAAGTGTTTACTCTAGGAACTTGTAATATAATTTTTGCTGTTCCATCATTTTCTCTCGTCAACCGATCTGTTGTCTTTACATGGATATTATGGTCATTAGATAGAACTAACGCTTTGTAAAGGTAGACCATATCCAGGAATTCATGCCAGTATGTTAATTGTAGTAAACCACTTTTGACAAGTCTATCTTTGTATGATACTCCTGACAAGAATGGCAGTGATAAAATGTATCTGGTGGCGCGACGTTGGACGGTTTCTACTTGAAGGATAAGTGATACGGACTGTGGTGACCAAATTTGCGTGCAATATGCCATCTGGCTTCGCACCATTGTCTTGTAAAGCGCAAGGCGGGTTTTCTCGTTGCGAATGTCCATTGATGATCTTTTAATGAAGCCGAGCATTTTGTTTGCTTTGGCACATACCATGGACACGTGCTGGTTCCATTTCAAATCGGATGTGATGATCACTTCACACCACAAGATCTTTCTGGGCATTGGTTCTCTTGATGGGAGTGTCGTACTTAAGGTGGTAGCTCGACGGCACTAGCTTCAGATTTCTGGTCACCGAAAGAACTTCACATTTCGATTGATTCAGATCCATCCGCCACAATTCACACCAATTGTTAATACCATCAAGGTCTTTTTGAAGATATTGTTCATCCTTATGCATGTGATCTAACTGAACGATAGCATTTAGTATCATCAGCATACAAAGCAATAGACGATGTAGATGTTTCCTGCGGAAGATCGTTCACGTAAATAACAAACAGTAAAGGACCAAGTATTGAACCTTGCGGCACGCCAGAAAGTACTGGGAGAGAATGTGAAGTTTTGCCAAGGACAGTTACTCTTTGGTGACGATTGGTTAAGTAGTCTTCAAACCATTTCAACAAAGTCCCACCAATCCCGAATTTCTTTAACTTTCTTACAAGTAAACGATGATCAACTCTATCAAAAGCCTTCGCAAAGTCAAGGTAGATGATGTCGGTTTGGACTCTCTTGTCGAGCTTTTCACCGATCTCTTGTAGTACTTGTAAAAGTTGGGCCGTTGTTGATTTGCCTCTGAGAAAGCCGAAGTGGAGATGATGAAGGTTGATGGAAACGTGAGCTATCAGTCTATTGTACACACAACGCTCAAAAACTTTGGAGACAATAGAAAGTGAGGAAATTGGACGGTAATTAGAAACTACTTTTAATAGACTAAAACTATCATTAGAAATAAGGAGATTTTGTTTCTCTAAATCGAATGGTAGTAATTTTGTCTTCATAGCATGCACCGAACCGGAGATATGAACCTTGCAAAGTCATAGAACGCCTACGTTAGTAGGAAGCTTATTAAAGATACGCCAAATCTGAGACATGGCGCGAGCCGCGCGATTAAAAAACACTCGCTAATATAAATGGGAGACTAGTTTTACTTTGTTTTTCTCGTGTCCCTGACTTTGTTTACCAACAACAGTTTTTATCCGTGAAGTGAAACTGTGATAATAGCGGCAGTTTTTCGTCACGTCCGCGTCGCAGATATGGTAATATTAATGATACCACTAGACTAGAAACCTGACGAGATGCTACAGATCAGCATCTTCCAATACAACATATTAACCAGGTATAACATTCGCTCCGGAATCATCGGACTGATTCTGTTGATTCTGTTGACATGATACTTTATAGAACTTAGAATATAAAAAGTTAAACACTTCAGCGATCAAAACCTTCAAGCTGATCAGTTAAAACAGATCTTAACAGGCATCAAGATTCGACTCACTTGCGTGACGTCAGAATAAATGCTAGTGCCAGACTTCTGTCGCCGACGGCATTAGCCAAAAATATTTGGATCCAAACGGCTCTAAAATTTTTTCGTTTTGATGAAATCGAAAAATTCTTTCGCTAGAACACTATACTAAACGAGAAAAAATTTTCTTGAAATAAGAAATGTTTAAATCCCAATATATCTCTTTCTTAAAATAAGAAAAAATTTTCTTAAGAAGAAAACATTTTCTTAAAATAAGAAAATTTTTCTTATAATTTCTTAGTTATCGCGAAAGCATTTTCTTAAGAAAATACGATTTTCTTACTTTAAGAATATGTTCGTAAGACAAGAAATGAAATTCTTAAAATACGAAATTATAAAATAGTAAGACATTATTACTTAAATTTTCGAAGCAAGAAAATGTAAAATGCTAGTGTTATAGGACAACTGATATCTTAACAAGACGGCTTAGAATAACGTAGCTATATCTTATTGCGTCAGGTAAATTTGTAGTTTTTATTTCGAATTGACGAGACTATATGACCGGCAGCTCACGGTTGATCAAACACTAAATGGCCGGCAGTACATTGACTATATAGTTAAAGTTGAATCTTCGGTATAAGATAGATAAACAGATCCCCAATCCCAAACCCTTCTCTAACCCTAACTCCTAACCCTAACCTTTTGAGAGTTAGACCGGCTGCCGGAAATATAGTCACTTTGTTTTTATTTCGTTTCCAAAATTTGAGCTGGTTTCAGTTTTATTGAATCGCTGAAGAGAATTTTTGCCCTCCGGAATTTTTATCCCAGCTTTATCCAAGCATAGATGATTCAAGCAGGAATAATTCGCCACAGTTCGCGTATTCACTAAACGCCTGGTGCCTAGTTTACCTTTTAGAACGCGGAGCATCGCGGGATAGCGTCGTTTTATATTTTTGTGAAAAATTTTATAATAATTATGGAATTCACAGCGCCTTCAAGGCAATTTAAATGGCAAATAACGATGGGAAAAGCATCAGAAAGTCCTTAAAATGTTGTTCAGATACCACAGGTAAGAATAATAAACGATTTCCGGGTTATCGCCGACATTTTGCGTGTGTAGCAAGTTGAACTTTGAACCCAAGATGGCCGTATAGAATTTCACAATTAGAATTTTATAATTTATAATAATTGATTTTAATGTATCAAATATCCTATGGCATCGTCTTCTTATGAACGGTTTTTTAATATGAATGTTCAAGCTCTTCAGGATTATCTTACAGTGAGAGGAATATCGGTGAGTGGATACAAAAAAGCAGAATTGATTGCACGAGCATTTTCCCCCGCGGAAATGGATCTTCCAATCATTATGAGTTGTGATGAACAAACTAAAGTTTTAAAAAATGACTATGCGAAAAAACTTGATGAGTTTGGTTTACCAGATCCGAAGCTAATCTCAGAGGATCAGAAAATTGATAATTTGACTACCTGGCCACCAGTCACTTTGGGACAAATTTTTCAGTACATACTTAACAAAAGGGAATTCGACACTGAGTATATCGGCAAATACAAGGACCAAAAAGCATACAGCTATTTTGACAGCGGCTTTGTTGGAGAAATACTGACGAATAAGACAGGCCCTTTCATAATTTTACTTTGTAATGTAAGAGCGTCCATGTCTATAAATGAAGAAAAAGACCTTTGGGTTGCAACACAACCTGATGGTAAAGTTCTTACTGCTTGGTGCTCTTGTATGGCAGGTACCAGTGGATGTTGCAATCATATAATAGCAACATTGTACAAAGTAGAATATGCTAACTCTCAAGGATTTTGTTCTCCTGCTTGCACCTCTATTCCCTGTGGATGGAATAAGTCAACAAAAACTATTATTGAACCTAAAAAGATTGCTGACATTGTTGTCAGAAAAAAACTAAGGTCAAAACAAGCTACCCGTTCAAATAGGGAAGAAGTTAGGATGGCTGAATTGAATAAGTTTGACCCCAGGGAAAAATTGCAACAAAATATGACTAATGAGCGTTTGACACTTTTATTAAATGGAATACAAAAGTCTAATCCAACTGCTGTACTTTTTAAGTCTATCGAGGGAATGTCTATTGATTCAGTGACATGTCATAATTTAACTGTGATAAATATAGCAAATGAGGTCTCAATTGGTTGTCAAGATAAAGATGAAAAGATGACAACACTTTTAAAAAAACTTTGTTTCTCTGAAAAAGAATGCGCAGCTGTTGAGAGATGCACACGAAACCAATCAAACTCTAAGGAATGGATTGAACATCGAAAAGGACGACTGACAGCTTCAAAACACCATGAATATTATACCAAAATTAACACAATAATGAAAACCAGAACTCCTGTCAAACCAAAGACTACTCCATTAGTTTCAAGTTTATTGTGCCAAGACAAAAAGTTGGACAAAGTTGCAGCTGTCCAATGGGGGAAATGCAGAGAAGAAGAAGCACTTAAAGAGTTCTATGCTCTAGAAGCAACAAAACATATTGACTTCAAGCTTGAGAAAAGTGGACTCTATTTGGACAAAAATAGGGCATACATTGGTGCATCCCCAGATGGAATACTGTACTGCAAATGCCACGGTAAAGCTGTCATTGAAATAAAGTGCCCATTCAGTATAAAGGATAGTAAAATAGCTGATGGATATGGAAAGTGTGACTTTCTGACATTGGAAGATGATTCAATTGTTCTTAAGACAAGTCACAAGTATTACACACAAATTAATTCCCAGATTGCTCTAAGCAATTCTACATGTGGATATTTTGTTGTCTGGACATCCCAAGACATTCTTGTGCAAAACATTGAGTTCAACAAAAATCATTGGGAAGCTGTATCTACAAACTTGGAAATATTTTTTAAAAGTTATGTGGCTGAGAGAATTTTGAGATTGAACTCTATCGAGTTTTGTGGATCATGTGAAAAAGTACTATTTGAAGAAAATGAAATTGCAGAGAATGAACTTGATCTTAGAAGTATTTGTTGTGACCAGTGTAATTGCTGGTATCACCTGAAGTGTCAAGGGCTTGATGATGTTGTGGATGGAGAATGGTTGTGTTTACTTTGTTTAACAAACATTTCTGTTAATTGACAGTATACCTGTCACATTTTAGGAACAGTTAATATTTTTAGACTTTTGTAATTTTGTATTCTTTTATATTTTAACCCATTGAGTGGCAGCACTCTCCCCCTCGCAATTAAAATCATGTGGCTTTAGACAGCAAAATAATAAAGTAGGATACATCTGGGCATTGAGACTTAAAGGTTTAACCTTTACCTTAATCCTAACTCTTACTAATCCTAACCCTAATCTTAATCCTAATCCAAACCATAATCCTAATCCAAACCATAATCCAAATCCTAAAAGTCTAAAAATAGTAACTGTTCCTAAATCATGACTTATATGATTAAAATCACTGTAAAACCACTGTAATATTTCTGCATTCCCTTGAATAAAGTCTTGGGAAATTTATGTGCAATTCATGTGTCAATGTCAATTTTCTCAGCTTGCAATGGAGGAAATAAGTTCACTAATGCACAACATATTATAAGAATGTCATCAACCAATGGCAGTTCCAACATAGTAAGTTCCGTAGATAAAATTCTAAACCATTTAACTCTTGCAATGGCTTTTTCAACAAAGATTCTTACATTGGCAACTTTACTTGTAACAGCGACATCATCTGATATCATTTGATTGCCTTTAGCTGCACTTGGAGGGATTGCTAAATAGCATCTCTTCATTGTGAGGTCTGACTTTATCTTAAACCCCCTGTCTGCCATAACAGTGTCATAAGGTTCAAGTAAGTCTAAAAATCCAGAGTTTCTAACAATAAAAACATCACTTGTCCTTCCACCATAACATGGAGATATCCATGAAACTGCTCCATTTGGTGTGATGGCTATTAAAAACTTGAAAGTGTAATGGTGCTTGTAATCACTCCAAAGATATGCACCAACCTCCAGAGATGACGGCGTCTCCAAAAAAACTTCTGAGCAATCAATGATGACTCTGACTTTTGGATAAAAGCGTTTGAAGGCATCTGGTAAAGTAGCATATATTTGACCTTTAGATGGCCATATAATGAGGTGCCGTAGTTCTTTCGATAAAAGCTTGACCCAAGTTATCCAGATTTGAGAAACTCTGGTGGTTGAAATTTGAAATCTAAAAGCCAAGTCCTTAATGAGCAATCCCAGACGCAATCTCATGACAGTTAATAAAAATTCTTGTTCTAAGGTAGTCTTTCGCTGAGGTCCTGGTTTGTTAATGGGCAATACAGATCCTTCCGCATACACATTTGATAATATTATGGTATCAATTCTTTGCTGATTAGGTTCTTCTCTCTCTACACCGGAACTTCTTTTTACACCTTCCCAATATTTCATCAGTCGTGCTCTTGGCACTAAAAAGTTGAATATTTCTTGGAAACTTTTTGTGCTCTCAAACCCAGTAAAAAATCTAACATCACTTTCTCTAGTAATTTGAGCAAACTGCATTGCAATGGCAATGTTGACATTATCAATAGCAGGAATAGGGTTTTCTGAACATTCCTCCTGTTCATCCATTGTTGAACATGAAGGCTGAGGGCTGCATGAGGAAACTTTTCTTTTTTTTGAAGGACTCTCTCGTAAATTTAATTTTTTTGGGTGTCGGTAGTCATCTAATGTCAAATAAAGTATGGGATTTGGATTTTTATTGGTGGGTTTGCCATCTGGAAAATGGTTTGAACATATGCGGCTGTTATCAGTTGGAACAAACTCACATCTCCCTTTGGCCACAAGTGAAGCCCATTTCCTTTTTCGATTTTCGTCTTTCGTAGGAAAGCGGTGCCATTTTAACTCTTCAACATGTTCCATGACAACTAATCTTTTAGGGCATCGTTTATCATTGTCACAGGGTCCAACGCAACATCGATCAGCGCGAACCATGTTTTTTAGCAATAAAAAATTAATAATTCATTATATTTTTATCATTCGCCATCTTGGGTTCAAAGTCCAACTTGCTACCCACGCAAAATGGCGGCGATAACCCGGAAATCGTTTATTGTATATTTGACTTGTTATTTAAACATATTCATTGCGAAATAATGTAGTGATTATGACTGTTTACTTGAGCGAAGTGTGAAAATATTCCATTGAATGTTTGAATTTGCCGCGTTCGTTTTGCATATAAAACATGCAAATGTTGCTTTCAGGCAAGGAACGGAAGATTAAAATATAAATTCAAATCTATTGTTGTGAATTCCATACTAATTTACGCACTAATATTAACAATTTGACAATATTAAATTGCCTTTGACATTGGCACTTTGCTAGACCTTTGTCAAGACTCAAGGCTATATAGTGATATGAAATAAGATATACATACAGATGTTTTTGAAGATCTGTTACCATTTTAATACTTGAATAAGGATTGGAATTACACTTATTACAGGAGAGTGACAGCATTTAATCTGATATTTTCAGTGTATAGATAGCTGAATAACTGAATTGCATCCTACTCTATTGTTTACTCTGTCTAATGCCTGAGGATTTTCCTACTTGCCTTGCCGGATAACTTGGCTACTGTACAGAATGTTTAGTTTTCCCGACTTACTATACTTCACCCGGAAAACTCTGCAACCCTAGATAGAATGTATATGCCTTTCATTTAAAATAATAGCCCAAAAATACATACAAATCATTAGGTATGTTTATAGCTTTCCTTTATTTCTAGCAACTTATTCTTGCATATTTTGTAATCATGTTTTTTAAACCTTTTGAATGATCCAAATTGTGTTTGTATTTTGTCATTGTGCAGCAATCATGGGGTAACTTGATTTCATATAAATAGACTGCTTTTTTGTCCTGCCTGAGTGAATAACTCACCTTGCCAGGTAACTCGCCTACTGATGTACCGATATCCATATTGGTGTGTCAGTCATCTTTGAATTTTGTGAAATGACATAGAATATCGGTATCGGCAAAGTATTGGTCTTTTATTATCAGTTATCAGAATATCGGTGAATTTCCATATATCGGTGCATTCACTAATACAGTTCAAGATTGTGTTTACAGTATATGAGAAAATGCCATCCTTCTCGCCGGGACAATTTTGTTATGTTGTCATTGTTTTGACAGTTGTTAAAAATAGCTTGCAGCTCGGCATCTTTGAACATTCATCCTGGCCCAGCCTGGTTGTGAGTGTATATATGTGGAGAAATTTTCATCCCGACAAGCAACATTGTGGCATCAGAGCCATCCTGCTTGTGGATCCACATAAACACATGATAATTTTTTCTAGATATTTAATATACCTAATGCAGTAAGATCTTGCTTACCGGGCTGTCCCGCTAAGTGGCCGAGCCCAGCTTCCATAAATACAGCTGGTTGAAAGAACCATGGACAGCAACCGGAAGTAAACTATACTGTCAGTAACTGTGTGACATGGTATTGCACAAATTATTACATTTCTTAATATTGCAGCTTTGGTGCATGACTAAGGGTTAATAGTCTACTGGGCATTTGCCACAAGAAAATGATAACTGAATCCAGGACATTTGTATCTGCCTACAGCCATGTCTCTGCTTAATAAAATTTATATAAAACATATGTAGTTTAATACTCCATTTGAATGTTCTTCTACCAATATGAACACGTGATTGGCTGATTATAACATTAAACATTCAATAATCCCTTTGAATTAGATAAAAATGATATAATTATATTATAAATAATATTAAATTAATTATATTAATGAATTATATTAATGAATTATATTAATGAATTATATTATAAATGAATTATATTATAAATAATAAGTCATAAAATTAATATTGGTAACATAGGAACATAGGCAGATTTTCATATTTTTTACTGGGGTGGTGCCAGAAATTTTAGGGGGGGGGGTGAGCCGTGAGCAGGTGACTGAAGCAACACAAAGTGTCACCATACCCCAGTAAGGTCTATATTCTAGAGGTGGAGCACTAGAGATGTGAGGAGGTGTCTAGAGAGCAGAAAACAAAGTATCCCTGGAAAAATTTTAAAAAATCATGATTCCTAGCTTTGAAAAAAGTTTTTTGAAGTGGTCATATTAATGGATTTGGCATGTCCGATTGTCTGATGAGACTTGGGAGAGTTAAAGTTAAATGAACCTGTAAAAGTGTAAACCTAATAGGCCAATACACAATATGCTTTTACCAGTTTTATAAAGTCATTGACATTGTGTCGTTTGAATCCGAATATATTTTATGATGCAACTCCAATGTAAATAATAATTGGGGCATAAAGATTAAATCTAGGCAAGGCTATTTTTTAAAAGAATTAAAAACTAAAAATAATGTTTGTAAAAAATCCAAATGTTCCTTCCGAGCAAGCTAAGTACTGTATTTGCATGAGAAGGCACTGCAAACTCTATTCAGGGGAGATAATAGAGTTTCAAAACTTTACAATTGCTCCATTATCTTTTTCTATTTGAGTGTACTCCAACATTTATTTTATATCATCAACACTCTGCATGTTGGAGTAGACTATTTAATTATTTTTTATTATGCCAAATGTTGGGGGGTGGGGGGTGTTGAAAACCATCGTGGGAATCGAACCCGCAACCTTTGGGATACTAGTCCAATGCTCTGCTAACTGCATATACACTCAGAGTAACATCAAAAACAATATTCACCTGAGTACCTGTACATATAAACACCCAAACAACACATTCTTAATAAGAAAATTATTTTTAAGAAAAATTTCTTGATTTGAGAAATTATTTTCTTAAAATAAGAAATTATTTTCTTATTTTAAGAAAATTTTCTTATTTCAAGAATTTTTTTTCTTGGGAGAATAACAAGAAAATTTTCTTAATAAGAAAATTCTTTTTAAGAAAAATTTCTTGTTTTGAGAAACTGTTTTCTTAAAATAAGAAATTATTTTCTTATTTTAAGAAAATTTTCTTATTTCAAGAATTTTTTTTCTTGGGAGAATAACAAGAAAATTTTCTTAATAAGAAAATTCTTTTTAAGAAAAATTTCTTGTTTTGAGAAATTATTTTCTTTAAATAAGAAATTATTTTCTTATTTTAAGAAAATTTTCTTATTTCAAGAAAACTTTTTTCTTGGGAGAATAACAAGAAAATTTTCTTAATAAGAAAAAAAAATTCTTGATTTGAGAAAATATTTTCTTAAAATAAGAAAATATTTTCTCAATTTAAGAATTTTTTCTCAAGAAAATTTTCTTAATAAGAAAAATTTTCTTAAGAAAATTCTCTTATTAAGAAAATTTTCTTGTTATTCTCCCAAGAAAATATTTTTTTATTTCAAGAAAATTTTCTTAAAACAAGTTTTTTTTTTCTTAAAATAAGAAAATGATTTTTTGCTGTGCATGACGTATATCAAAATTTAAGTTAGACATTGATAAAGTGCATGCAATGGTCGTTTTAGTTTTATGTTATACTATACGGCAAGAATAGCGAAAAAAGATCCAAAGATCTGCATTTCGTGATGCATATAGCTACTAATAATGGCCTCTGAAAACAGACGAAGGTGTGCTTTCTGTCTAATAACAAGTCATTGCATTAATATTTAATTAATAGGCCACTTTTGGCTAAATCTCGGCACTTCCAGATATGTTTACTTATGTTTAAAGCAGCTATCTCGGTCAATATTGAATGAAAACACACATGACGTATATCAAAATTTAAGTTAGACATTGGTAAAGTGCATGCAATGGTCGTTTTAGTTTTAAGTTATACTAAATGATGCAGGAGACCTTTTTTGCGCCACCTGGTGACCACCTGCTCAGGCGAAATTTAGCATCCTATAGTAATTTTCTGCGAGTTAATACTTTTTGCCACTATACATACTAATTTTTTCGTAATATGGTAATTTTTACGAGTACAAATTATTGTTAATGGACGATACTCAATGCGCTAGACCTAAAAATTATAGATTTAAAATGTCTATGTTAAGCCAACTCGAAAACTACTATATTGTCTAAACAAAGGAAGACTCTATCACAGACTTTCATTATTTGCTTGCCAAACCCGTAGGCTACTGCACCCAGTATCGTTTATTAATTATTGTCCAAACCACTATCTTTGACCTATCCATAACTATAACAATGAAATTATAGTTAAACATGGGCAGATATCCGAGTTAGCTTTATCTGCCTATATCATTTTTACTTGGATTGCGAGCTGTAAAGACTGATTTAAAGAGTCATTTAAAAAATTAATCGTTTCACGTTTATCATTTCTAAACGTCCACCAAAAATAATGCCAAGAGTTAGCAAACCACGATCACGAGTTCGTCAGCAGGATCAACGACCATCCAGTATTCAACCGTCCGTCGAAGTACGGAGCAATTTGGGCGAGTTATCAATTTTAGAGTTGAAGAACCTTTGCCGCGAACTCAACCTTTCCTGCGCTGGCGGCCGACGGGTACTTATATACAACGCGTCTACAAAACGAAAGAGAACGTCTAAACACGAATACGCCGCAATCCAACATTCAAACCGTTCCAGTAAACAACACGTTATCTAATTCCAACGCAAGGGAAAGCTTCAGCGCCGACCAACTGGCACAGATCACGCAGATTGTTTCGCAGTCGATTTCGTCTTTCTTCGAAAGCCAACACGCCACAACAACCGCGACTCGTGTAGATGAACAGCAAACTATCCCGCCACAGCCAACACCACTCGAAAGGCTAGAACAGCTTGGTCAATTCCCATTTTTAAGTTCCAGTGAGCTCCAGCAGCAGCCGACTTCATCCCATGGACCTGTTGCCTCAATCCAGCAAGCAGATGGGGGATTCACGCCAGAGATTCCAAACAAATACGTTCGTGACATCGAAAGTGGTGAGTTTTTTGAGCTTGCTAAATTATTGCCAAAAAATTGAAATAGGTTAAATGTTGGTTCCGATTCTTCTGACAACGTGTGTTTCACAATTTCCTCTACG